GAGTAAGGGAATGCACTTCTTTGTTCTATTTTGTCCATTAGTGGACAGAGGCAGCTCTTAATATGAGGTCGAAAAATGTGGAAGTCGTTCTTACAAAGCAAGTATTAGTTGACCATTTTCACAGAGATGCTTATTAGCAAAAACATTATGAGTATATTTTCGTGCCTGGCAAAAAATCCATGCACAGATAATGATATCTGGGCCGGAAATCATATTGTTGCAAAGCAAAGCTTATTTGTACTAAACAATTATGTTGTGCTAAGTACATGTTGGTAATTCTAGTGTCACAGATTCCAGAGACATATGTACAAGCCAGACATATTTTGTACCTTGAGAACTTAGTGAATAAACCTGCAAAAAGAAACTTTTCAAATCTTATACATCCATCATCTAGTGGTGTTCAAGGAGATTACAGACTAGGAGTTTGGGATAATTTCTCTGAATCATTAATTAGATATCATGGTTAATTGGCTCTGTCACGGACATTACATTCTCTTCCATAATCATCATACATGTAATTGTACAAACTTCTGCCAAACTGAAACTTTAAGTCATCTGCATTTGAGCCATGTGTTCCGCATCTGTGAACTCCCAAGAAAAAATAAAGTAACTCAAACAGAAGTCCCCAATCACTCAGTGACACTCTACCATTTCCCTCCATGGTATTCAGTTATGAGATGACTCACTGCCAAAGTTTCCCATCCCTGACAGTTTCTCCTAATAGTCCTATCTGCATCTGGAAACAAAGCCGTAAATATGTCAAGTACCTGTAGGACCATACTGAAGAATTGTGGTTGAAGGGGAATACATGTATTACAAATCCTTGCACTAAGCAAAGTTGTAAACACTGCATATTTTCAATGATTACTATTTCTAAGAGTTCGAATGCGGACAAAGTGCAATACGGGTAAGAAAATGAGTAAGAATTCAAAGGACACAACCGGTACATGTACAATAATTGTACATGATATAAAAAAAAGTGTGGCGCTTACTAAAGTGTAGCACTTTCTACCTACATGTACGAGTAGGTCTCAAAGCACTTCAAATTGATTAAACCCCCTCCCCCTTCAACAGGCCATGAGATCAATTTTCTGCAGCGCAATCTGATCTCTACCCTCACAGGTTCCCATTTGTACTCCTGGGTGGAGAGTGACAATTGTAGTAAAGCGTTGCCCTGGGATAAAAGCACCATGTTCCCTATTGGGGTTCAAACCCACGTACCATGGCACATGGGTCGAACACTGTTGCCATTGGACCACAGCTCTATGAAAACATGGGCAAAATCACTATGAACTTTTTAAACAATTTTGGTGTTCTTATTCCTCCATGGTTTCACACAAGTCATCTCCCTTGAAACCTGAGATTTTGTCTGGAGTAGGTGGATAAGAATATAAGAATAAGTCTCATTGTTAGTGTAAAAATAAGTCTCATCGTCTGAGTATGTCAATACATGTATCATGTATACACCACAGCGACTAGTCCCTCACACAATTGAATAAAATTCAGTATCAAGGGGGGGAGAATAAGGTCAGGGGGGAACACCTCTTTATCGGAGCCAAGAAGTCAGAAGGTTAAAAGATTCCGATAATCCTTCCGCTGGAGAAACAGAAGCGTCTTTTGTTGACTAGGGTTCAGTTGTCGCTGTGAGGAGAGAGGCGTTGAGCCCAATAGACCTCCTGCCTTTGAATAGTAACTGGGCCTCTACATCAAGCTTTAAAGTAAAGCTCTTGGACCAATTTCACGAAGCTGCTGATCTCTCAAATTTGCTTAGAAAAGTTGTGCTTAGAACAACAGGTTACCGGCCAAATTGCAATGTGATGCATGTTACAGGTGACTGGTTCCCGGCTAATTTTTTGCTCACTAACAAAATTTGCCAAGCTTTTTAGCTGCGTGATAGCCTCTCAACAAATCATTATGTCTCTCCGTTATAGTTAGTTAGCTAGTTAGTAACAAATGTTGACTATTGCTCCCACATATTTTGACCGATTTCAACCAAACTTTGTTAAAAGTATCAGTAGCCCAGCCCCAACATGTCACATGACCAAACTGGGGTCAAAAGTCATCATGGGGTCCCTGGGGTCAAAACCTGATTTTGTTTTTACTAAAAACACTACTCCTTCCAGAAATTACATGGAACAATCACATGACTCATGCATGAACAAGAATTTGTTGGCCTGTAGCTTCCAAGATATTTCCGATCCAGCTTGTTTTATTCCCTCTGAGCAGCATCATAAAACTTAAAATTGGGTTCTGATCACGATCACAAACTGTCAAGGCTAGGAGAGAGCTACATTTAAAATGTATCTTGGAACTGGATTTATTTTCTGGGGAATGGGTGTAAAGAAAGAAAATGGTCAAATTCCAGCAGGTACTGTGTGTAACTCTTGTGGGTATTGGGGTATGCCTGTTCAGATTTTGACCACTGTAAGTTAATTTTGATATTTGGATCACTGTAAAAAAAATAATTTTGATAAATTGACGATTAGCCCTTATCACTTTGGCATTTTCCCCAGGAATCGGTCTGAGTATACCACAATGGCACACTAATTACACTGCACACAAAATTAGGTTGCCTTTCCCAGTGTAAATTCTAAAAAAAAATTCAGAGTGGACCACCAATTTTTGCAGTAAAAACAAAAATTAAATGGAAGCTTTCAAAGCAGAAGTACATGTACATGTATTCACATTTATAAACTACAGTACATGTTGTAGCCACTCCAAGTTTCACTGAATTAATGTTGTCACTGTTGACATTCATGGTACACTGACCTTTAACCATTTTAACCTGTGACACTTTGACCATCCAGCTTCAACTTGAGCTTGTGGTTTTTTTTAGTAATGCAACAGATATATTTTGGTCAAGGGGAGAATAAATTTAGTATTTACTGTTTTTCCCTTTTGTGGAGAACTTGCCAAAGTTCCGGAACTGTACGGGTAGATGGTTTTCAGTGGGGCATGACTGTGGGATAAAAGGATCCGGGTCAGATTCACCAAAATATTTACCAAAATACTCATACTCATAGAGCGAAACAGGGATTTTGTTGATGGAATTTTGAATGGGGTGATGTGAAATTCAATGGAATGGCATGTACATGTACTTTGCAAACAAGAAGGTATATTTATGTGTACACATGCGTGCAGACATACCCGTACATTTAGTGATCATTTAGTGATCGGAATACAAAATATACATGTAGTAGAATTCCCAACATTTCAGGGAATTTACGTATAAATGTTATCTTGTGGACATTGTTTACTGAATACATGTTTGTGAATGTCTACCCAAAGGACTTTTATTTTCCATTCCACAGTGAAAATTCTGTCTCGTATTTCGGACCTCCACTTGAATTGACCCCTTGTTGAACTGCTTCAAGACTTTAAAATATTATATACTGTGTTTGTGAAAAAGCTTACGAAATAATTTACAATGTGCCCACCAAAATTCATTCAACTGACATGCACTTGTGGGGATGAAACTGAAAGGGGACAGGGTCTCCTTAAATCTTGTACTTTCCACAAAAATGCAAGTCTTTTAATTATATACTGGTAGGCCAACTAATACGAGTGTAGCCTGTTCAAATTTGATTTTCATCTCAATCTAAAAACCAAAGATTGTAAATGCGGTTCGCAAATTCCTTTTTTCCCTCCACAGAATCAATACTCCCACTGTAGTGTAATAAAATCAGTCTGGTGTGGTTCTGGAGTGCAATGTACACGGTTGCTGCCTTATATGGAATAGTAGAGCAGCTACAGCACATGGCACATGTAATGACCTAGCGATTAATCAATCAAATGGGCCTATGTGCAGACATCACACATACATGTGGGTACCTGCGTCACGTACGAATGTGGAAGTTGTGGCGTGATCACATGTATGCGGTCTGGATGATCATGGCAGTCGTTTTATTAACTTGAAAGCAACAGTACAATGGAATGAATGGTGGATAGGGGTCATTCTATAAATTGGGGGTCCACTTTATTACTGTCCCTGTTATATATCTGACATCGGTGGTTTATCATTTTGATACACTCCTTAATTAATGCAGTTGTCCTCCAAGATCGAGTGATCATGAATCGCAAACTACCTTCCAAAAAAAAATGTTTTAAGTCATTCTTAATGTTACAAAAACTTGAATGGCAAATTACAAAGTAAAAAAGCAATGTTGGGTTGAGTTAGGAAAAATGTCACAGTTTATAGAACGACAAGCAGACAATTGAAAGGCAAAACTAAGAATATCTACAGTAATAAAATAGTGTACACAACAGAATGACGTGGAAAATGTCCTCAGGGGTTTGATATGAACTTTTTGATTGCGTGTTCTTGCTTTCTCAATAAGCACATTCTTTTGTTGTGAATTTAAAAGACCGGCGGGTCTGTTTTCCATTCAGTTGGGGATTCTTGAGGGTTTAGCTTGGTGTAGTGTGGTGGAAGCATTGTCCCATTTCTCTGAATGCCAATGACACACACTGTGAATTACACAATTTTACTACTTGATGTATGATCATAGGGTACATATGCAGGCAGTTTGATGAAATTTACAGGTACAAATGTACACATGTTGAATCTATTATGTCTACAGCCAAAGTAGCAATAATATCATCAATTATCACTCTCAAAATCAGTCACTTCTTATTACATTTATAGGCCCCCTACTGTATCTCTACATAAAGTACATCATCAAGTTGCATTAAAACTGTTGAAAAGATTTTAAATAGAAAACAAAAACTATGCTGTATCCCGAATGCCAAGGCCAGTCACAGCACATACCGGTATTTATACCGGTATATTGAATTTGGGACTTCAAGGAATATTTCAATTTTGTTAGAAAATACTGAGAAAGGTTTCATGAAATTCCTATAAAGACTCATGCTGTTAAATTTAATCATTGGTAATCTTTTCAGTGAATAACTTATGAGTTACGAGCTACTACTACTGGTGAAAATTTTTGGTATTGACGAACTTTTGGGTTAGTCTTCCTTTTTTTCATAAAAAAACTTACCTCATTTTGAGGTTGTAGATTCTGCACCTGTCTGTGGATCGGTTTACTCTCCATTGCAACAGATGTAGCATATTATTCCAAATGAGGTATCAAATCCGCCGGATAACGACCAATGCACGTGAAGACTAGAACTCAAGCAGTATAATCCTTGTTCCATCCCAAATAAAAGTGTGTCCGACATTCACAAATCTCTGATGGTACATTTACTCCAGTACAGTCGATGGCCACTTCAATCAAATACACCTACCCATTTGTTGGTGTAGAACAAGAACGTTTAAAAATCGTGTGCATGTACAACTAGACTATAGACATCATTCATTATACTGTACAAGCATGTACATGTTCATTGTATGATGTACATGTATGTACACCTTTGCAGGACTGCACGTCTGTGTACATTTGCATCTATTGTTGACATCAACAGGCTATATCCCACACATTAATCCAATAGGCATACAATACAGCATACAACATTCCAACCACATCATTCATCGGAAAGACAACACAGGAGAAGGGTGCAACACATGTGGCAACACACATGACACACTACGGCCATGAAGCAAGAAGAAACAATGGTCTCCCAATATGCAACAGCATTAAAATCTTGTCAACAACATGTGACCAGACTTGTGCCATGTGTCTCTAGCTCTGCTCTGTCATATGCTCAGTCTGTCTGCCCAGCCGGCTGCTGACGGTCTGCTCTATGGTCCGTTTCAGCTCCCGACACAGCAGCATGCTTCACCCCCTCACACAGCAGGGAGAATATGTTCCAGCCATGCCAGCCGTCCCATTGAGTTCGATCAAGGTTATGTATGCTCCGTGTGAACACTGACAAATGGTGCACAAATGGGCTGGCCTCCTTTTTTTTTCATTCATCCAATGTGCTTCAAAACTGTCCAGCGCAGCGCAGCTGGATTGAACTGGGCAGTACTTGTGGGTTGTACAAGTAATTAATTTCCAAGTTTGAACAAGGCCGCCTTATCAGGTCTGGAATGTGGCCGGTGGATTCCTCAGACCTCTGGTGTTAAAATGATGGATTGTCCGTGGAAGTGATCGCTCACTGCTGTTTATGAAAGCTTTCCTTTACAGAAAAACCAAAAACTAGGGAAGGTCTCAGCACCCCTCTCACACTCACCCCACGCTCACCCATGACATTCTCTGATGTTCCCAGCTCTGTGCTGGCTCTGCACTACTAGCGCAGCATATATGTAATGAGGCTGTCATTTACCAGAGTAGGGTTAAACTGTAATTGGCTGGGGGAGACTTGCGCACAGCAGGAATGCAACACATTTATTATTGTTGCAAGGTCCCCAGGCTAGTCTGCACACACCATGTACCCCCAATGGTCATGCTCCACTGTTTATCTGGCTATATTTTCCCTCCATGATTGTGTTCAGTACTAAACTGGTCAGCAGCCCCCCATGGGGAAATTTCATTTCAGGGTTGTTTATTACCCCCCCCCCCCAAAAAAAAAAACCCCACATGATTATTCCTGATTACAACAAATGAATTGTTCTCTCCTTTCAAACTTGTGACCCCTCATTTGCTCTATAGGTAAAATGAAAAAAGGAAGGGGGGGGGGGGCAATAAACAATGGCCATAATAAAGTGAAAACAGATTTTATCTTTGTGGGCAAAGCCACTTTTGGTCCTCTGACGTTTTTTCCTTCCTCCATGCTCTGACCATATCTTGTTTAGAGTGGATTTGCTCTATGATGTCCTGTGAAATAATTGGACCACACAAGAATTTAGCAGGCACGCAAATGGATACTTGGATACTGATACTTCAAAGAAACTATTTTTAGAAGTTGCGTAGACCTTTTCTTTGAAAAATTATGAACCCGTTACCTAACATATAAATACCGGTACTTATTTTAAAAGGTATTGACATTAATTTAACAGAACTCAGAGAGAATACTTTAAAAAAAACCCAACCTATTAGATCAATCACATCAAGGCTTAAACAAATTAGAGAGTAAAAAAATATCTTTAATGATTTCAAAGGAAATATTAAATTCATGAGCAATTGCGCATGACTGAATACTGCAATATAAACTTCTATAGTAAATAACAACAAGCACAAACCACATCTATGTAACCAAGGAGGTACCATAGTAAACGATTTCAATGATTACAGTCGTCCCAGTGATTCTTATTTTTTGTTAGTTCAAACTGTCTCTATTACGATGACTAAATGTAAGGTTAGGAAATAAAGTGAAATTCCGAAATTTACTACAAAGGCCTCCTTTTTTCGGCTGTGGTTCAAGATTAGATGTAAGCATATTACCAAAATATATAACGAGGTTCTCCCCAACAAAAATGTCAGTTCAACAAGTATAAAACTGAAATTACCTCCACTCAACAAAAAATATTATATTTGAATGTGTAAATGACCTGCTGTATGCAGTCTACATAAAGCAGAGCCAATCAATTCATTGTGCATTGTAATTTGTATTCTTTTTTACAATTCCTTTCCATCACATTCGGTTCAGCATGGTTTTACACACATGTCATAATACTGGAAAGTCTCAAATTATACTCTTTTTGATTTCACAAGGCTTGATGTCAACAGAGGGCGCTCTTTAACTTGAGTGTGCATGGTTGTGTTAGTGTCTTTAACACTGGAACACACAAGAATTGCTTTCACTGTGTTGAATGTTGTCGAAGGGCGTATAGAAAAAAAGAGTCGTATAAGTTAATTGGCATTAGTATTATAAATCATATTACAGGCTCTAACTTTTTTGAAATACACATCCATTGTACCTCAACATCCTCCATATTCTTGTACAATGTACTGTATTTAAAAAAAGAAGTGCTGTGCAGGTTTTCTCCTAATTTTCTCACACAGGACTTGGGTTAATTCATCTCAAATTGTGCAGACTAATAACAGTTAAGAGTGCTACACAAAGACTTATTCATTCTCCACTTAAAGCTGTTCAATTTCACGGTCCACCGGTCGTTTAAAGCAAACTGCAAAATCTGCCTTGCGGCACAAGTTTTCAATCCCATGTACATGTGCATGTACATCCCAAAGGATCCCTGGTTGTACAAACCACAATCCTTATTCACAGGGGATTTTTAGTTAGCTCTAGGGTGAACTTGAATTTTTCCAAAATTGTTGTCAACTTGAGTCCAGATTTTTTGTGTGTACAAAGCTTTTTTGAGTGTTTGCCCAACAATGGAAAGTTCTAAATATGCATGTACATTCTAAAGCTTTAAATGACTTGAATATTCTTGATGAAAGATTACTTTTATATTTGGTTCAATTGTAACCAATTTTAATTTGCTAAATTTGCATTCTTTGCAGGTTGAAGGCATACATGTAGAGTATCATTTGCATTTGTAGCAAACGTACCAAATCATTACCAAAAAACCTTACTCGTACTGTTACTAAACACCAGCCTCATGAAATTATTCTGGCTCGCTGTCATTTAGAAGAAAGTCAAGAAATGTAGGCGATTTTCAATGATCAGTCAATTGACTGATTCTTGGAAACAAAGAGCGCTATTGACAAAATCATGTTTCATGATCAAAAGGTTGTGCATGGATTTTCACTGTTTTCTCAAAAAGTGTAATATCCACTGAGCTGAAACCTCAACAGGTTTGGTTTTGACCATTCTTCTTTGTATTTTGAGTGGTGTTATTATTGGAAATGAACAAAATGCATGGAAAGCAAAGTATGGCTATATGCCTTTGAGAGTGATCGCAATTTACAGATAGTCGACATCCACAAACATCCATTTATAGAGGTTGTGGAATGCTCGAAGACATTTCCGTCATCTTTCGGGTATAAATTATGTAGCCTAAGGTGTGATGAAATAAAAATGACTATTGTATCTGTCATGAAATGAGTACAAAAGGTACTTTTGAGAGCTGTTTTTCAGGTCCTGTTTCAACCCGAACGTGCAATTTGTGTAAAAGTCGTCATTGGGGGCAGCAAACAAAACATAGTAAATCGTGACGTAATAAACAGGACTCCCGATGCAGCGATAGTATAAATGAGTCCTGTTTATTACGTCACGATTTACTATGTTCGGGTCGAAACAGGACCTGAAAAACAGCTCTCAAAAGTACCTTTTGTACTCATTTCATGACAGACACAATAGTCGTTTTTATTTCATCACACCTTAGGCTACATATACCCGAAAAATGACGGAAATGTCTTCGAGCATTCAACAACCTCTTTAAACCAATTATTTTGTTATCCGAAACAGAATCGGGTCAGAGAAACCTGTACAAATTGCAGTTTGAAAATTAACAATGCCCATGCGCTTCAAGACCCTGTGGTACTTTGAAACATTGCATTTCCCCTGATTCATTATTCCAAATGCATTTGAACAGCCCGTTTGAAAATATTACTCTCAAATTAATATAAAAAAATGAACTAAGTAAACCCAAACCCTTACCTTATTTTCTGGTGGTTCATACAGTGAATCGTCCGATACTGATGAGGATCCATCACTGAAGTGGACGGGTTTGGACATTTGGGGAGCTCTTATGAAATCCCGTTACCATCCAAATCAAGGAAATTTGAAAAAGCCCCCCGCTAAATTCCAAGAAAATTTCTTTGTAATGGTGTCAAATAATCCTTTGTCTTTTGCACAGAGATCGATGCATTTCCACCATTGTTGTCCAGATCCGGGATTTTCTTCACCGCCAAATTGTGTAGTTTTCAAATGATGGGCAGTTGATGATCCAAGTTCAACAAGACAGCATCTTCAGATGTTGTGTTTATTATCTGTAGATTGAAAACTGCCAGCACAGTACAAGTACACGTGCACAAAATACAGCCCTTCCAGGTTGTGCATCAAATAATCAATTACACCTTGCCATCCATGAGGATTTCGATCAGCTGTTACAGTTTACACCAAGTTCTGCAGATTTCACGCCTCACAATCACCCGAACCACAAGAGACGACTGCAAAAACATACATAATGCAGTGCTGTATCAATAGCTGTGCCAAAGTGGGAGAATTTTCTGATGACTCAGTCCGGCAATGGCTGTCCAAATTTCGTTATAACTGTTCAGTGAATTGACAGCCACCGACCGACCGTCCAGCGATTATTGACCACTTCATCAGCATCAACTCACATGTGTTTGTTTGTTTTCTGTGCCGAGTTTCCCTTTCATGTCAAGACCTTCCAACATATCCGCAACACCGAACAATGGAGCCAACTCCTTTTCACCTCTCCAACCAGCAGGCCAAACAATAAGCAGGCTCGGGTAACAATACCCTAGGTTGGTATGAAGCCGTGAATGGGGACTCCCTTTTCACCTCCCTGACAATCAAAACTCACCCAAGGATGAGATTTCACAGCACTCCAAACAGAAAACATAAAAAAATACCAGGATTGATCCCAAATGCGACAATGACAACCAAGAGAACAAGACAAGACGTCGAATCTACATGTACGTACACAAACCACGATAAAACTTGTATACACCACGCGGGCTCCACATTTGTGTGCAACGCTTTCTATTGACTCAAACCCAATGGCCGGCCTACCAGTCACACTATTATTATCCTCATGTTTGATCAACAAGGTAACAAACTCTATTAAACTGGGCCCAATCACCGATGAACCAATGACACGGCTCGAATTCCATTTAATTTTTAACCCAAATTGGCTGTGGCAGACAGCACGCTGTCTTTCCTTATAGTCTGAACTGATCGGAATGCAGCCTAAAATCGAAGCCAGGGGGAAACTCAATCTCGGAGTCGACCTTATTCATTTCGGGCAAACAAATAAAAGGACACCGGGGGACCGCCGATGACTCTAGTATTGACTGAATGTTTTGGCTTATTAACTGCATGTTCTTTTGTGATGGCATTTACAACCGATTTACTCTGATCAAAGGTTAGCCTGGAGTACTTTTTTTTTGTCAGATAAAAATCGGATAAACGTAAACAATGTTGCAAGTGGCCTTTGAGCCCTGACATGTTAAGAGCTTTTAAAATGTGATTAATATACTTGTTGCAAAGACTCACCTTGCCATAATGACTGTAGTCTATTGACTGGAGAAAGACTTCAACGGGATCTAGGCGATAACACTTATAGTTCTTTGGCTTTTTATTATATTCGATTTCAATGCCTCCCAGAAGGCCAACTTCTGCAAACAATTATACCTCAACATTTACTGTACATTTAAACAACACAATGTAAATT